GGCCATGCTAACTGTGACCATGCTAACTGTGAACATGCTAAGTGAGACCATGCTAACCGGCCATGCTATATGAGACCATGCTAACTGAGACCATGCTATCTGTGAACATGCTAACTGGCCATGATAAGTGATACCATGCTAACTGGCCATGCTGAGACCATGCTAACTAGCCATGCTAAGTGAGACCTTGCTAACTGTGACCACGCTAACTGGCCATGCTAAGTGAGACCATTCTAACTGTGACCATGCTAACTGGCCATGTTAGTGATACCATGCTAAATGAGACCATGCTAACTGAGACTATGCTAACTGTGACCATGCTAACTGTCCATGCTAACTGTCACCATGCTAACTGGCCATGCTAAGTGAGACCATGCTAACTGTGACCATGCTAACTGTGAACATGCTAAGTGAGATCATGCTAACCGGCCATGCTATGTGAGACCATGCTAACTGAGATCATGCTAGCTGTGAACATGCTAACTGGCCATGATAAGTGATACCATGCTAACTGGCCATGCTAAATGAGACCATGCTAACTGTGACCATGCTAACTGGCCATGCTAAGTGAGACCATGCTAACTGTGACCATGCTAACTGGCCATGCTAACTGTGAACATGCTAACTGGCCATACTAAGTGAGACCATGCTAACCGGCCATGCTATGTGAGACCATGCTAACTGAGACCATGCTAACTGTAACCATGCTAACTGGCCATGCTAAGTGAGACCATGCTATTTGTAGATTATAATGCTTCTATAAAACAGAAAGAATTAAATGACATTAATTTGTCCTTTAATGTCCCTTTTTCTCTGTTTGCAGATTTAAATTTTGATGATTCTTTGTTCTTTACAAAAACAGAATGATGAACGTCGAAGCTCGGCTAACCCATCAACCGCAGCCGAAAGCAGACCAGAGTCCCAGAACCGCCCCTTGACTGGCAGTGAGAGCTCCGGCTCCCAGAGACACGAGGCGGGAGCTCCGGCTCATCAGATCCAACGAGCTTCAACGAGTGAAGCTGGAGAAACGACTCATGAAGCTGAGAGTAAAACCTCCTCCAGGCCTGAGAGTGGATCCCAGAGCAACATGTCTGAGCAAAGGGCTAAATCCTCCTCCAGGTCCACAGAAAGGCAACCAGCGGGACCGCTGAGGAGCGGGACACCCTGCAGGACATAAAAAGAGTCAGAGGTCCCATTAATGGATTAATTGGAAATCAGAAAGAAAGTCTTCCATTATTTCAAGTTTCAGAGCACATTAAAACGTTAATAAATGTATTGTATCCAACTTAAAGGAGATGAACATTATTGGTGCTTGATGAGTGATAATTCATCAGAAAAGGACAAAGCAGTGAAATAAATGTTTTACAAAATAAGGAAACTTTGTCTGATTGTGGAGATTAGAATTCCTCAGAATGAGTCAGATGGGAATAAAAAACAGCATTTTTCTTATCCCACAATAAAGTGAATACAAACATTTAACAGAAATAAAATAATAATAATAATGTGACTTTAAAAAGATGAATTCTACCATTAACTTTCTTTAATTCAATAAAAAACTCTGACGTCAAACCGTATTTTCTACAGTAATTCTTTCATTAAAACCGCAGCGAGAAAATAATCTACATTTTAGTTGCAAATTAAGCATCCAGCTTCCCTCCCAGTTCTGCACAGATGACTCAGGTTGGAGCTGCTTTAAGTCGGGGATTTTCTAACACATGCAATAAATATGCTGCTGTTTTTTATTTTCATTTTTTCTCTCTGTTCTATTGGAGAAGGAGGTCGCTTCATATCCAAACCGCTGGCTGATCCATCTGGCATTAAAGCAGGTCGTGTTCCAACAGATGAGCCTGTTTTTATATAACCTTCAACCTTTGGGATTGTTTGTTCAGGTGTGTTTAGCATCCAGGTGATCCAAGCGGGGGCCCGTCTGAACAGGAAGGAGGGAGACCTAACCCCTGTCCGCCCAGCATAAACGTACCGCTCTACAGAACCACTGATGCAGGTGCTTTTAACACCGATACCAATTATTTCTGCATCAGTCTAGCTGATCCCCCAATATGTGCTGCTGATTTTTTGGGGCCAATTCTTTATGCTGATATTTTCCTTTTTTTCTAGTTAAATGATCAAAATGATGCAGTGATAGTAATGAGCACAGGGGGCGCCCTCTGCTGCTCTCAGACTAATCCTTTCAGATCTCCCATTGATTTTAGGTTTTTTATAGTGTAAATTATTTCACCCTTTTATTAAATCAAGGGCATTAAAATCAAAGTATCCTTTCCGCATGCATGATGGAGGTAGGAGTTAAGATGGCTGCAAGTCCAGCTGTGTCTTTGCTCTGTCAGCTGATTGGTGCAGAGTTCCTGAAAGCAACAGAAGGAGCTGCATTGTTCTCCTCTTAATGAACACGTCCATCACCAACAGGATTTCACAAATACTTTATTCACTTCATCTTTGAGTTTTAAAGGAATTTAGAGCCTCTAAAACTGTCAAATAATATAAAATCTAAGAAATAAAAGTTTTAGACCCAAAGCCAATAAATATGTGTTGTGAGCCTGTAGAAATAATGCAGACAGCAGATGTCAAACATCTGGCAGTAACACGGAGGAATAATCGCTTTGCTGTGTAAAAAGCACAGATCCGCATCAGATAGATAGATATGGTGAAACATGGCAGACCCGGGTTCACTCTATTATTACATGAACTGAGCTTTCATTGTTCAGAGCGCAACAATGAACAGCAGCAGACAGTTTTCAGTCCCCTGGCTGGTCAGAGGGGAGGTATTTCTAATGTGTTTCTATAAGAACACCCGTCACCTCCAGACTCTATATAGATCTAGATCAGGGGTTTTAAAGCGCCGTGTGGCTGCAGGTTTTCTTTCCAACCAAGCAATAGCCACCAGACTCCATTCATCTCATCAAGTCATCATGTTCAGATTGGACTCACTTGATGAGATGAATGGAGTCTGGTTGCTATTGCATATTTGAAAAGAAAAAACCTGCAGCCTCACGGCCCTTTCTGGAACCACTTTGACACCCCTGATCTAGATCAACCAGATCCAGTCTGTTCAAGTTCAGGCTCAAAGTTTTCCATCTAAGGAAAACCAGCTGGTTGCATCCAGTCATCCATCTGTTCCTCCCAGATGAGCAGGAACAGACAGAAAATATTGACTTGGATTGTTTCAGTTCTGTAGCAATCCCTCCACCAAGCATGTAGCGACAGTGGAGAGGAAAACTCGGTTTAAAAAAGATAGAAACCTCCAGCAGAACCAGAACCAGCCTCCAGAAAGGAAATACAGGCCCAGCTCTATCATCTCTAATCTATGCTGTTGATTGATCGATCCTTTTTCTGACACGCTTCATCCCAAGTGGGATCCTGAGGGCTGCTGGTGTCTATCTTCAGCTGCCTATGGCTGAGAGGCGGGGTTCACCCTGGACAGGTCTCCAGTCCATCGCAGAGACAAACAACCATTCACACACAGACACACAGTGGGCCAGGAATCGAACCCACAACCTTCTGCACCACTGACTGCCCGCTAATCTCACCTTAAAGCAATGAATCAACTTTTTTTTTTTACAGCGTCACTCCAGGGCAGAATATTTCTACATTTTCTGATATTATGGAAGAAAAATAAGGAAATTCCAGAAACGGGATTAATATGAGATTGAAATGAATAGTCCTAATCAAAAATATTTTCAAATGTTGATGTTTAAGTCTTTAATTTTATGAAAACCTAATGACCGATCATCCAACGAACGTGACTAGTTTGCTGTTTATTCTGCATTAATGGGTCAAAACCAGGAACGTCACTGGACCATTAAGATCAGGTCATCACTACGGTTACGGTTACAGTTCAGTATAATCACAGTTGGTTTAAGTAATCCACCAGATTGTGCATCAATGATTTAGTTAGCATGTTAGCATCTCCAGCTCTTCTGATCATTCCAGTGAATCTGGAAATCCATGGTGGTTATAGATCAAACGTTAAAGCGGGGGGTCATTAAAATAATATATCAAGAGTGGTGCAGTATTAAAGGTATGGGGCAGGTTGTGGAGGGGGGGTATAGGAGGGAGGGAGGATATGTGTGGGTTTTGGAGGCAGGATGTATCTGAATTTTAACAAAGGAGATTAAAAATATTGGTAGAGGGAGCAGCTGGGCTGGTCCTGCCAGAGGATGAAATTAGCTTCACCTATAATCCTCTATCTCTATAAAAAAAAATGTATATTATGAAAATGAATTCTCGCCCGCAGAGAGATTGAGGAAGGCAGCAGCACGCCTCACCACCCCAGCAGGGGTAAACGTGATGGATGGATGACAGATGGATGATAGATGGATGATGGATGGATCCTCCGCACCCTTGGAGGATCTGGTCCAGGTAGACCGCTCCCTCGGAGGATCCGGTCCAGGTAGACCGGGTCCTCGGAGGATCTGGTCCAGGTAGACCGCGCCTTCGGAGGATCCAGTCCTATGAAAATGCAGCCCATAAATTCAAATCCAGTCCTGGTTTACCATAAACCCAAAGCGGCTCTGGAGCTCCAGGCTGCAGCCCCCTGATCTCGCAGATCATAACGATTCTGCCTCAATGTGTTGAAGCTTAAAGTTTTTAAATCACCATAAAGAAGTTGGTCCCCGTGATGGGTCAGTACAGGTTATCAGCCAGAAGTCCTCAGAAGAAATCACGTCGTCAGTAGATGGACCATAACAAGGCCCGGACCCCCGGCCCCTGTATGGAGCCTCAATCCCTACAGATTTATTCTGCACTATTGAAATTTAAAATGTAGGTTTGAAGCTTCTTCTACAGGATTATTGCTGTAAACTCTGCAGAGTTCATGCAGCTGAGTCCATATAGACTGATCCTGGGTTGGTTCTACGGGGCGGAGATGGACGCGGCTCTAGCTGCTCAAAGCAAAGGGATTAACATTGGACTGATGTTAATGGAGCCACAATGACAGCTGGATTAGCTCTAAAACGTTCACAGCACAGCAGGGATTAGCAGATTCACTGCTGCTATTGATAGATTCCCTCTTTCTGGGTTTTTCTCCCATTCGGACCAACATCAGAGCAAAGTGATGCTGCTGTGGAGACGCCTGCGTGGAGAACATGGCGTGAATAGACCGCGTACGCTTTATAACCCTAACCCTGCTGGACGTGCATCCGGATTAGTGCAAAAGGATCCGGTTTGGATCCCATGGGCCGTCCAAGTCTTTCTGGTTCCACTTCTGTGTCTTATGTTTAAATTTCTCTACCTTTAGAAGAAATTTAAGGTATTTAAATCTGATTTACTTTGATTTTTTGGAGGGAAAAGTAGTTTTAAACCAGCCTAAATATGAGCTCTGAATGTTCTCATCTGTTCAATCAATCTGTTCCTTTAGTTACATAGTTTTGGAGATGAATCCAAAGCTCTGAGTTAAATGAAGTTTTCTAATTGATATATATATATATAAAAGAGTTTTCTAATTGATATATATATATAAAAGAATTTTGGGTTTTTCTGATTAATGACTTGAAATGTTTGAAGTTTGAAAGCAGGGAGAGGAAAATGATTCTGAAGTTTTAAGGTAATTAAAATCAGTTAAAACTGCAGGAGAAAAGTGACAGAAAACAAAGTTTTAATCTCAATCCCAGATTATTCAGTGCATAGTTTTATTGGTTTAGGCATCCAGATGTTTAACATCAGCAGTGCATCCCTTCCTTCAGGTCTCCGCTCTGTTTTAACGAGCTTTCTAACTGTCAGCTGAGCCTTAGATGCATCGAAGGAAGAAAGGAGGACTTTCAACATAGAAATAGAGCGCCCTGAGTTTAAACACAGCAGACAAACAGCCCTTCCAAACACACTAAAGGTAGTTTGCAGATTTTCACAATAATAATAATAATAATAATAATAATAAGTATGCAAGCCTGCAAAAAAAAAAAAATAACACACACACAAAGCATCTGATATGTGGGGAAGCAGGAGGCTGCTCCACTCCAACGGGATGAGAGGAGCATGTGGGGAAAGTTTGGAGGAAGGAAAACTGTCCCACAGGAGAGGAGAAGCAGCCTGGTTCCTCTCATGGCCGCAGAGAGAAGAAAACCAACCAATGGCTTCGCTTGTTCAGGTCACTGAGACGCTCTGATTGGTCCACCGCTCGTCCGTCAGCCTGGAATTAACTAGCAGCTTGATGTGTGATCCTTATTTTCCGAACAATCAGCCAGTCCTTCTGCGAAGCCGTCACTAATATCCTCAGACAGGAAGAGGCGGAGCTAAGCAGCTTGTCCACACCTCGCATCTCAAATTTCCCACTCTTAAACTCTCCTATGGGCTGGAAGCTTTTGCAGCTCTTCTCCTTGACGTCTCGGCCTAGTTCCAGCTGACCCGAGTCCAGAAGGTCCTTCCCCCCGGATCCGGTTTCCACCAGAATTCCCGTCACCACCGTCGGCTCCACAAACACCACTGTCAGATGATCCCCTCTCTCTGGAGAGCGCCCCCAGAAGAACTCCTCGCCGGCCTCCCAGGCCAGTCGGGGGAGGTGCTTCTGATAGGTGGAGATGTTGGTGAAAACTTCAGCGGGGGGGTTGGTGTAGACCCCCTCCTCAAAGTTCTTGTCCTTCAGCTTGTTGTAGGTTCCCTGGAAAGAGGAGAACGTGCCGATGTGTTGGAAGAGCGAAGGCTTAAAGAGGATGCTCTGTCTCTGGGTCAGCAGCTCCCTGAAGTGAGTCATCAGCCAATCACAGGGCATCTCCTGGTAGAAGAGGAGGAGGAAGCGGGCCAGAAGAGGAAGATCCGAGGACCTGTAGAGCTTCCCAATGTAGCCGAGGGCTGAGAACTCCAGCATGGCCCAGCTGCCCTTCTTTGCGTTTTGCTCCTCGATGCGTTTCCTGATGGTTGTCAGGAAGTTCTGGGCAGAGAGGACGTCATCTTCCAGCTGCAGGTAGTACCGGCCCAAACCGGCGCTGAAGTGGATCAGGAAGGAGTAATCCACGTTCTGCTTGGAGCGGAACGACACCCGATCGGGAGCATCATTGTAATTCCTCTTCAAACCTTCAGGGGGCAGCAGAGAAACATGCATGAGTACATCGTGAGAATTAAAGCAGCGGCGTGCGCGAGCACGTGGTCTGCACCTGTTAGAGGAGGGTACCACTCCTGGGAAACATGGATGAGCAGCAGCTGGCCGCGGTCCAGCTCCGAAGGAAACGTGGAGTTGATCTCCCTGAGGGTCCCGCTGATCCAGCTGACGTCAAAGTCTGCAAGGAGCACGACCACCACCATGGAGGAGCGCTCCTCAGGAGACGACTGAGAGAAGAGCGACTGCAGGGTGCTCACCAGGTAGCTGCTCTTCTTCCGCCTGACTGACGACAGGCCGACGGTCAGGAACCCTGAAACATTCAGACCGAAACCTTCAGAGTTCAGATCTGAAAGCTGCAGATGTGGTTCTACGTTAAGAACAGATGATTTACCCCACAGACACCAAACCTTTACGCAGAAATAAGCTCATTAAACTTAAACCAAGTTATCAGAGGAAACTAGAGCTTCATATAGCTGCTGCTATGTTAGCAGGAGGATGAAGACCTGATGCTGATGCACATTCTCAGAGGATCAGGATGTGTTTTAAAGGCTTTAGCTGAAAGACGGAGGCGCTAATCTGCTTTGGGAGAGACATTTTATTCCTAATTAAATACATAAAAACTGTAAATAAATATTCTTTTGTCCCTATAAAATAAAATGAATTATATAATAATGCATTTTGTTAATTGAACATTTATTTAAATGCTCTTTTGTTGCTTTTATTTCCTGCTCCTTTTCTTCCATGTTGTCGTCTTTAATCGAGCAAAAGGAGTTTTTCTGCAGAAAGAAAGAAATCAGTAAAACTTAAACAAAACTAAGCTTGAAGTTTATGAAAATAAAAGCGACTGACTTTCTTCCTGCTCTGGAGTTATCAAACTTTACTGGGATTAAAGTTGGTCGTCAGAAACATCATAAATGACCTTAAATCTGTAGAAAAGGTGATTCTGCTCCAAACATCTCATCAACCTACAGTCAGAGTCACTAATTGATGACTGTTAATAGAAGGCGCTTCCTTACAGTGACCTGAGTGAATGAATGAATCCTACAGACACACCAGGCCTCCATCAGAGCCTCACTCACTCTGCTGATTGGGTGGAGCTCCCGCCAGCAGCTGATAGGTCACATTGAGAGGCAGGAAATCTCCCTGCTCCACCCAGGAGTCCTTACTGACCAGCCTCTCCACCGGCCGACTCACAGGACTCGCAATCGACTTCAATCCCTGCGAAGACAGAAGGGGTGAGCACATCCAGGGCCTCCTCAGGTCTCTTCACAGCCGTTCTGAGTGTGAGCGCTCACCATCAGGAGGAAGTCAAAGGGATATAAGCAGTAGAGCGCAGCGAACAGGAGTAGCGCACCCAAAACCACATTCTTCTTCCTGGAACGCCGCCGCATCTCCTGCCAAAAGAAGATCCAACATCTGAGGATATTCTTGATAAATACACTACTCAAAAAAATGAAAGGAACACTTTATAATCAGAGTATAGCTTTAAGTTAATTAACCTTCTGGGATATTGATTTGGTCAGGTAAGCAGCAGAGCGGGTTGTTAATCAGTTTCAGCTGCTTTGGTGTTAATGAAATCACCAACAGGTGAACCAGAGGGGCAACAATGAGACGACCATCATAGCAGGAATGGTTTTACAGGTGGAGGCCACTGACATTTTTCCCCTCCTCATCTTTTCCGACTCTTTTTCACCAGTTTTGCATTTGGCTAGGGTCACTGTCACTACAGTTAGCGTGAGGCGCTACCTGGACCCTACAGAGGTTGCACAGGCAGTCCAACTCCTCCAGGATGGCGCATCAATGCGTGCCATTGCCAGAAGGTTTGCTGTGTCTACTCACAAAAGAGAGTAGGTTCACCCTGAGCACATGTGACAGATGTGAAAGGGTCTGGAGAAGCCGTGGAGAACGTTCTGCTGCCTGTTACATCGTTCAGCATGACCGGTTTGGTGGTGGGTCAGTGATGGTCTGGGGAGGCATATCCATGGAGGGACGCACAGACCTATACAGGCTAGACAACAGCACCCTGACTGCCATTAGGGATCAGGATGAAATCCTTGCACCCATTGTCAGACCCTATGCTGGTGCAGTGGGTCCTGGGTTCCTCCTGGTGCACGACGATGCCCGGCCTCATGTGGCGAGAATATGCAGGCTGTTCCTGGAGGATGAAGGAACTAATACCATTGATTGGCCCCCACGCTCGCCTGACCTAAATCCAATAGAACACCTCTGAGACATTATGTTTCCATCCATCTGACGCAGCCAGGTTGCACCTCAGACTGTCCAGGAGCTCAGTGATGCCCTGGGCCAGATCTGGGAGGAGATACCCCAGGACGCCATCCGTCGTCTTATTAGGAGTATACACGCATGTGGGGGCCATACAAATGACTGAATACCATTTGGAGTTGCTGCAATGAAATTTCACCAAATGGACTAGCCTGCTGCATCATTGTTTCACTGTACTTTTTGGGGTGTCTTTGAATTCAGCCCTCTGTAGGTTGATCATTTTCATTTCCATCAAAGGATGTGGCATCCTTTGTTCCTAACACATCACCCAGTCCATATCAGTAAAAATAAAAAGCATGATTTTTTGCCCCATTGAGATCTGATGTGTTTTCAAAGTGTTTCTTGAATTTCAGCAGCTCAGATCCAGATAAACCAGACTGTTGTTGGGATATATTGCCACAATGGAGCCCAAATCAGTTGGATGAACCATCTTAAACCATCCCCCTTTCCTTTTTCACAAAGAGAACAAAACATTCTCTGGAAGTTTCTGTAACTCCCCACTGTAGAGGCGGTCAGCTGACGCATGGCCCAATCAGCTGATGGAGGAGGCTGATACTTCAACAGGAAATCCCCCCACGTCACTCATGGTTTCAAACTCACAGCGTGAAGGTAAGTAAATCTCCCTCGACCTAAACGCAGAGAGCAGATCCCGTGTTTGAGAAGACCCGCGCGGCTGGAGCCGGACCGCGTGCCCCCTCGTAACCCAAACACCCCCACCGCGCTCCTTCACGGACTCAAAGTTATATCACTCCCCTTTTCTTTTGATGCATTAATGAGGTGCTGCGCTCGGTGGGAGAGACAGGTAGATTCAGGGATTTGAATGAAAGGTGATTTTAATCTGTGTTGGTTATAAGAGCTCTGGTTCATTTGGTTGAAATGAGTGTGCTGTGAAAGCTGCAAGTGGTATTTCTTTCTTGTTCTCTTTTCTTTGCTGTTTTTGTTTGTTTCTGCTTTAAAGTAGTTATAGAGTCACCACATTTAACCGCATGGTCACGTGGTTGAGGACCAGTGTTAACGCCGTCCCCCCCCTTTCATCACATGAACTGGGAGGACTATCATACATTTACATGCCTCCCCCACGCACACATACCCCGCCCTGTTGATGAAGTTTTGCTAAAATGACTTCTGCTGCTGTTGTTTAATGCATTTTAATAATTTACCATTTTTTTAGCTGAATGTATTAATTTTATGCTGATTAATTGCACTGTTATCATTAGGGATGCACGATATAATCGGCCCCCTATCGGTATC